GAACAAGTCACACATCACGACTGACAAAATCGCGGACAAAGAGATACGTACGCCTGCAACTATGACAGCAGCAAACCCTATTACTGAAAGTTTCTGTGTCTTTTGTTCAGCGTCGGTGAGTGCGTGAATGTGTGAGTGACAGTGAGTGATGGAATTGAGAGTTGACCTGACTCAGTAGCCAAACACGAATATTCGAGAAAACACTAAAATACTGAGAGAGCACTTTGCTGAACAACCTCATTCAGCGAACATTTCACTTCATAACCCGCTGTTAAAAATAAGGCACAAAACTAATCATTTTCTAATAAATTGTCACTTGTGTTTAAAGTATTCAGTTTCAAATGTGTCATTATGGTGACTATGACTAATCAGCATTTGATTAGTCGCGCGCGGTTTACCAATTGTCATCCTTAAAAGTCAGTAAGCAAAAATGTGAAATCCAACTTACAGGCACTGATGAATAACGCACTGTCATTTCACGATCTCATATACGCAGAGCAAAACTTACATTGCACAATAATTGTAAATTATAATTTTCTTCGCAATTATTTTTGTTTTCACTTACATAAGTAATATTCTGATGCAAGACATGTCTCATAACTGCGAATCAGTGCTGAATCATAAACAAGTACTTTACCTTACAAAGTAATGATATAATTTGCAAGAAAAGGCCCAAATCCTCAAGGATCAGAATAAAATATTCAATAATCTTGGTAACGCCTTACGTAAATGTTAAGATCAAGATCCAGGGTGAATTCGCTCCCGTCGGAGGAACCCCTCCCTGGACTGCTTCCATCGTTCTCTGTTCCGTGCTAAGCAAGTCCACGTGATCCCTAGGTGTTCAGTTAGGTCGTCCCGCCATCTGGTTTTCGGTCATCCTCTTGGTCTTTTCCATTGTCTTGGCGTCCACTCGGTCGCTCTGCTTGTCCACCCATTGTCCGCGAAACGAGCGACGTGGCCTGCACATCTGTGCTTGCTGCTTCTGATGACCTTGATGATGTCATTTACACCTGTCTGTTGCCTAATCCATGTGTTTTGCTTCTGATCCTGCAGAGTTATTCCAAGCATTATCCTTTCCATTTTTCGCTGAGCGACCGCCAGCATTTCTTCCATGGCGCTGTTGAGTGCCCAAGTTTCGCATCCATTAGTCATTACCGGTAAGATATACTCGTTCAGCACATTCTTCTTCAGTTTCATGCTTGCTTTCTTACTCCTCATGATGTTGTCCACTTTGCCGAAAGCTGCCCATCCGAGTGTTATCCGTCTCTTGATCTCAGGAAGCAAGTCGCCGCTTTCTGTGATGGTTCTTCCTAAGTAGACATATTTGTCTACTCTTTCTATGGTGGTTCCATTTACAGAGATGTCTTCTGGTGCTATGTGCTTGTTGAACATAACCTTTGTCTTCCCTAGGTGCATGTTTAGACCGACTGGTTTGCTGTTATTGTTGATGTCATTCAGCAACTTTTCTAGTTCCTGTGGTGAGTGTGCCATTAAGATGATGTCATCAGCAAAGTCTAGGTGAACCAGTTGTTCTCCATCTATGTTTATCCCGCATTCGTCCCATTCTGTATGGCCTAGAATGGCATCCTGTAGGCATGCCGTAAACAATCTTGGCGAGATGTTGTCTCCTTCGCGGGCTCCTCATTGCAGTGTGATCTTATTACTGTCTTTGTGGACCTTTAGGGTCGATGTTGCTCCGAATAATCTTGATGAAGGCTGGATCAACTCCTTGGTGTTCTAGGGCGCTAAACATTGGAGTATATTCGATGGAATCAAAAGCCTTCTCATAATCCACAAAAGCAAAGCAAAGTGGGATGTTGTATTCATCTGCTTTTTCTTGGCGTTGACTCACCACTTTTATAAGGTCGATGTTTGAGTATCCTGACCTGAAGCCTGCTTGTTCTCTTGGCTGGTGACGATTCAGGGTAGGAAGCATTCTCTTCAAAAGAATGTGGGAGAATGTTTTGTAGATGATGGGTATGAGGCTGATAGGTCTGTAGTTCTTGATGTCAGCCTTGTCACCCTTTTTGTGAATAATGACAACTGTGGCATTTTTCCAGTTGTGGGGTACTTTTCCTTCTGTGAGACATCTGTTGAATAATCTTGTGAGTTCCCTTATTACAGGTTCACTTTCATCCTGCAAGAGTCCTGCCATGATGTTGTCTTTTCCTGGTGCCTTGTCTCGCTTAAACCTGTTGATGGTGGCTTTAATTTCCGAGGGTAGAATGTTTGGAGGTGTTATTGTTGATGGAACCTGGTGGTCGTGGAAAGGGTCTTCTTGTACAGCTTGCTGTACAGCTTGCTGTAAAATTCCTCGCATCTTTTTACGAGCCTGTCTAGGTCTTGTATAAGTGTACCATCTTCCTCTTTTAGTGCAGTGATTTGATCTTCTCCCAAGCACTGTTTTCGCTTTATTGTTCGTAGCCCTTTGTTTTTTTTCCAGAGCTTTTAGTTGTTCCATATTTCGGCGAATTGTTTTGCAGATTTCGATGTACTTAATGTTCTCTGCACTTGTGCCACCTCGTTTCATTTGTCTTCGTTTCTCCCTTAGTTGTTTGGTGGTATTAGAGAGTTTGTCGAGTTTTGGTGGTTTTCCTTGTCCTGCTG